TAATTCTCTAAACGAATTTTAACAAATGAAAATCTTGAACAAGAATTATTTAAAAAACAGATAACTCAAAGCTAACTTGTCACTAAAATCTTTTTTGCTTACCGCCACTTTGGTATAACTATTTCTTTAGAACATAATAATACATTATGTAAAGATTAATTCAGCTAATTCTTAAATACTAGATATTAATAAAAATAATTATAATTACATCTAAAATTCTTTGGTCTTTGTGTAGTTTATGGTTGTTATGTAAAAATATTTGAGCAACTGTACACCTCTGCTATAATTAAAAATTATTAAGATTGCAGCTTTTCAGGGTAAGATCCCTTTTCTAAACTGACACATTTTACTCAATAAAAAAGCCTAAAATACTAAGTCCATGTTTGAAAACAGCAAAGCAGCAAAACAAAGCTATCAAATTAGTCTAAACTGTCTTTAATACTATAATTCTCAACCTCCTCTTTAAATTATTCTTTCCATCTAAAAATCATAGAACTAATCATGCTTAAAATTCATATATCGAGGTATAGTTATAGGCTTATTTTATATAGGTTTGAATTATTTAGTAATAGTTATTTTAATTTAGAAAAATCACTCACTTTATAACAGCTATACATATTAGTTTTAATTTATTTTTTGCTAATATTATTAATTTATACAAGCAATAAAAGAAGTTGTAATTCCACATTTAGAAAAATAAGCATATAACTATTCAACTCATTAAAAAATATTCTGATTACCTTTTATATGAAACATCAATTTTTGAATTTTAACATTTGATTTTGGAAAGTCAAGCAATATTCAATTTCCAAAGCACTAGATTTTTTCCACAATGGTTATTGGATAATATATCGACAGTTTTTTAATAAACTTAAATTTAATTAATAAAAACTTAATTTGAGGATTAAATAGTCAAAAACTGAATTTTCTCTTACATCCTTCAAATCTAGTTCTTTTTTAAATCCATACTCACATTAATTCTATCTGAGGAACTTCGAATATTTTTGAATTTTTATTTATTGATTATATCTACAAATAATGAAAATGTGATCAATCGTCTTATTTCCTCATTCGGCCTCTCTGAACTCATTTTCATATTTCACTTCCTCCTAAAAACTGGTTCCTTCAATACTAAATATCCTCTCTTTTAGTAATAAATTCCCATTCATAAATATCAAATTTGTGTAGACCTATCAAATGAACAACAATTTTTTTGAAAATCAATTCTTTAATTCCATTGTGCTTTTGAACGAAATCCTTTAAGTAATAACTATTAATCAAATTTACTTACGCTATTCTTTTGTTCATTTGCATTTTATTTCCTTAATCCCTTAATATTAAAATCATTCAACTTAAAAAAATTTTCATTCTTTGTTAAAAGATTTTTTGCAGCTTTGGTAAAAAATTAAAATAAATAATATAATCTTGTATATATATAAGATTCAAATATTATAGTACTTGCATATTTAATTCAACTGTTGAATCTACACATTAAGCTTCAGAATTACTTTGCTGTTAAGATAATTATCTCTTTGAATAAGTTTTATCATCCAATATTTGAAAAATTCATGTTTAATAATAATGATTGAATAAAGAATTAGAGCTCATAAGCAAACATAGACTATTAATAAAGGTTTAATTTAATTAGCAATAAATAAAATTTCTAAAATTTAGATATTTTTGAAACTATCTTATATAAATTAAATATTTTTTGCAAAAAAGGATTTTTAGATGCTATTAAGATGCTACAGAATCAGAAGCTGAAAATTAATAAGAATTTTGGGAAAGAATAAAGAATTAACTCATGAATTTTCTGAAGTTAGTAAATAATTAGAAAAATTTCAGTTGATTTAGAAGCTACCTATTATCTTTTATAAAAAGTCTAAAGAAAATTGCTATTCAACTTAGAACTGCTAAATCAAAAAGATTTTTTGAATGAAAAGTCAAGAAAATGAAATTCAAGACTTTTAGCGCATAAATTTGTAATACAACTATATAAATGAAATTCTTTTGGACCATCCATTTTAGTGTAAATATTCCTAAATTTATCAATAATAATCCAGATTATTTCCATCATTAACTAGTTAGATCAAAACGATTATTTCTAAGCTATTGATATAAATGTGAATCCTGTATATATAATTTTTCGACAAATTTCAATTGAATATTATATCTACTTCAAATACTATTTATGTGTATTAATTAAGACTATTCTAACAAACTTAATATTAATTATGTTAATAAAATTAATCACCAGGTATTTTAAGGTGCTTAAATGCGTATTCATCTTTATTCTAAATCCAAATACTTATGTTAATAATACAGGAAACTTTTAAGATGGAGTAAAAATAATGTATCTGTAAGTATTTTTGTTTCATTTGGTACCATCAAATATCAATATTAACACAATTTTCATGTACATGTAACACAATAAATAATATTTTTTCATCATCACTGTTAATTTAATATTAAAGTTAGATTAATTAATTATGCTTCATTAAGTAAATTTAAATGGAATATATCTTTGTCAATAAAATGTCAATTTTTTTATTTATTTAAGCCTGCTTGTTAAAGAATTCAATTGCTTTTTAAAATAGTGCACTTTAACTAATAAATATTCATCAGTTACTTGTACATCGTTCAAGCCATAATTAAGTAGTAAATTCAATCTACTAAATCTACTTTAATTTAGAAGAGCTCTGGAATCTGAACATCCTATGAGTAAATACTTTGGACTCTTTTCTTAAGACAACCTTTTAAAGTATTATTCATCTATCGATAGTTTTTTTAGCCACATATTGATTATTCCGATCTAGTACTCTGTTGTAATTGGTAATCTCTTGTATACTATTGCTAACAATCTATTAATTCATAGATAAATAATATGAAATGATTAAATCAAAGGCAATTTACTTTCATTTATGGAATCTATCTCATCATCAAAAAGCCATACTATAACATTGGATATTTTTATTTGATTCAATTTTGATATATCTATATATATATTCATTAATAGATATTGAATACAAAAATTTAATATTTTTAGAAACGAGATGTTAGTAAGTTAAATTATTGTTATATTATAAGATATATATTTTAGAATTTTCTACAATTTAGTTTAAAAGAATGAAGTAAAATAATGAATTAGATGTTTTATAAACAAATTAGTACTAAAAAATCACAAACTTAAGGATTAAGTAACTAATGAAATTGACTAAGATAATAAAGAAGAGATCATTTTGAAACTAACTGAAAGTCATAATTTGAATGTTTAGTTCAAAACCATAAATAATGAATTTGGATAGATGCGAAAAAATTAATATAGAATTAATAAGTTCTTATGAAGAAAATTAAAAAAAAATTTCGGAAAATCTTATAAAAAAAACTCACTACATTTTGGAATCTGGAAGTCAAAAAAAATTCAAATATTTGAGAGTTCGGTTATAAGAAGAAATCGAAATTAACTGTTATCATAGTTATTTTTGAAACTTTGTATTCTTCACTAGTTGGTAAATTTTTTATTTCGATTGATAATCCATAATTGTGATTATTATATAAATTTTATGTGATCTGGTTCAAAATAATTAGTGTTTTCTCCCAGTAAACAAATAGAAGTTTTAACACATCAATTTAAAGAGTCTATTCAATAATACATGTCTGATATATATATACAATTTTGCCATTTCACATACTTATCCAAATTCAGGTTCAAGATGTTGACTTATAACTTCTAAAAGAGCACCATTTAGAATTTGTTATCTGAATGTAAAGGCAACTTTGGTTTTTTATCATCAATTTAATCTGCATCAGTTTCCCAATCATACCTTTTGCTATCAACAACATATGATACTAATAAATCAAACCAAATTTCTAAGCTAAAAATTGATCTGGAAGGGATTAGTATTTCCAATTGTATATATATTACAGGGACTTCTGCAATCATTACTCTTCTAATTTCTTTTGAAATAGAAAAATCATCTTCAAACTGAATTACACTTCTTTTTCTTCCAATTCTAAGATTTGTAATTCATTTTTTTGTTCAAATTTTTTGTTGTACATTTTATTATTTATTATATATTTAATTCCATTTATTCATTCACTTAATTTTTCGTAATTTTAAGAATTTCCTTGGTGAATACTCATACATTTGACATTCAATATACAAATATAAATGATCCAAATAAATTTACCCTAATAATTAACTATTAATTGACAATCCCTGATATATTAGTTATACTCATCACAACAGTAAAGAAATAGAAACAATAAATTATAAACTCTACTTGTTTTAAGATATTTAGCAATTTTAGGAGTCAAAAAAGCCATTTCACAATTTAGTACGATTAATATATCAAGCTATTTACTGCTTCATATAAAAACATTTTCGAGTACAATTAATTCATATGATTTTAGATGGGCAGTACTATACTCCACATAACCATAAGCCAGCATGGATCAAATATTAATTTATAGTTCAATTGCCTATATGCATTGTTATACAAAGATATACACGGCATTAGACTGTAGAACTCTAAGAATTACATAGATAAAGAAAAACAAGCAGAGTTCAGAAATTCTTTTGAGGTTGAAATTTCAGAAACTAACTATACATTAAATAATTATGTTACATAATCAATAATTCTTGATAAAAGTCATTAGTTTAATTAACATATAAATTTATGCAAAATGTTTTACACATAAATCTATTTAAAGTTATTTAAAAAAATGTAATGGATGCTTATAAAATTAATAACACTAGTTTAAGCATAATTGCTAAGAGGCTATTAATACAATTAATTTTTCAATTAAATTATTCCCAAAAAATCAGGCACATATATATTAAGAATTGATTTCATTTAAAATATTTACTATAATTATAATATCAAATATTGATTGTTAAGTATTTTCAGTACTATACAATTAAGAGAAGAGTTAAGTCAAACTCATAGGTATCAAACGAATTGATACTTGATTACGATAATATAAATATTCATTGAAATTTTTAAATTAACCTTTTATTTTAATCATTTCATATTAGAATCAAGAATTCAAGAACCATATTGGTAATGTTTGCTTTTTAATGTTTGCTTTTTATATTTATTTAGAAAAAATATTTTGAGATATGTGCATTGGATGATTTGCTACATTTAGACTTCAATATTGGCAATGTCCAGATCTCTCAACAATAAGATTAGTTCTTGGAAAGGAGAAATTGCCAAGCAAATAATTAAATAATTTAATATAGTGGAGCATGATAAATTTATGTTTCAGTAGATACGATAATCCAAAAAGAAAAAACAAAATTTCGATAATCATAAAATAAAATATACAAAGGTTTTCTCAAATTATAAAAAGAACAAGCCAAATGTATTATAGCTAAATTATAAATTCAGATTTCTCTTATTATTTCTTTTTCAATATTTAATCAAATTCATAGATTATGATTTTCATTTTCATGAAATACTATATATAAATAGGCTGTCATCTAAGAATTTAAGACCAAGCTTAGACTAAGAAAATTAAATAAATTAACTTAACTAAAACATATTCAGTCAACTTTTGTTTTTGGATTTTAATATATGATCTAATTTCTTCTTCTAGGTAAATTAATGATATTCACTTTTTAATATTAGATTAAAATGGTTTTGATTCTTCAAAACGATTAAATATCTGAATAATAATATTGCTGATACTGCGATTTTTTTATTTCTGAGAGTTATATAGATGAGTGTAGATGGATACCAAGCTAACAACTAACATAAACGATTAAGTGATTTAAAAATAAGAAAAAATTGTTTTATTTCTTCAAAACAAATTGGTAAAAATTTTAATTTTCAAATTAGATTAAAATAGATGATATACACACTTTCGTTGAATAATTCAATAATAAATTCATATCAGGAAATTTTATGGTTTCTTAAATAACAGATGATAATTTATTTATCCCCTTTCTATCCAGGAAAAGATGATACATTTTATTCTGTGAATTGTGAAGCTGTTGATTAGTAAAATCAAGATATTTTTAATAAAAAATTATTTTTAATGAAAATATTTTAACGATGCGAATCCACTTGAAATTGGAAGGAGTTCTGAGAAATTGAGCATGCAGAGTTCTTTTGCACAGCTTTGGAGGAGGCTTCTACCTTTTTTTCTAAGTAATGGCATCAGGCAGATAGTTGTTCAGTAAGAGTTTCGGTTCTAAAAACTTCCATAATTTTTGAATCAGGACCTGTATAAGATGCATTTACTGAGGGTGTACTTATTACAGTGCCTGGATTCCTCTGTGCATTTAATAGGAAGACGATTGTTCTAGAACTTTATTTTAAGTAATTTTTATTACAATGCAATAATCTTGATACATCATGAAAGTAATTACAATCTAGAATAAAATTTCTAAAATTTTATCAATATTGCTTAATTGTATATCTAGTATTCTCCATTTCTATTTAGTATCTGTCTAATGAATTGATATTGTGAGAGCAATTCAGTTAGCAAATAACAATTGAATGTCTTTAAAGCAATGATTAAACATATATATTCATTTTAAAAAAAATAAAATATGAAATACAGTCAATTATAAAAAATATTGATTATGTTTAATCTTAGTTAGAAGATCTTTATAATAAAAGTGTTACCAAAGATATGTAAGAGTCAGCACCGACAGTTATAAGTGTTGATCATAGTAAGACAAAATTACCTAGTGAATTGTGGTGCGTGTAATATGCTGTTGATGTTTAACCTGGTTTAGCAGTTTAGTAAATACGCCATATATATTCAAAAAAGTATAAATAGGATTCATATGAATTAGAATACTTATTAAAAATAGACAATAATTCTGCTATACTAAGATGATAGATGAATTTAGTGATAAGCTTTATCTGATAATAAAGGAATTAGGGGAGGAAAAATAAATTATAAAAAGAGAATTTAAGAAAGTCTCTATCACATTTTATTTTGATTGGTTTATTTTGATATTAATATGAAAGAGAAATAAATAAGATTACAACCTCCATAAGACAGTTAATTATTTCATTAGATATGGATGACCAAGACAAAGTTTTGAATTATTATTTTCTTCAAAAGTTATTAATAACCCTTATGCAATTATTAATCATGAAAGACTATTCTTTGAAAAAACTTTAAATTATAATTTGACTTTAATTGGATATGGTGTGAGGACATATTTTTTAAGCTCAAAAGAACTGCTATAACGAAGAGATTAAATTATAAAATCTAAATTATTTTTCATCTTTTAATATACCTTTAAACATATATTAATGTTACGACTTACTGAATAAAATTCCAATCAGTAGGTGATAAATTCAGATTTGAATTTAAGATTTTCCATAAACTATTTGATCCAGACTATAAGAAACAAGTGCCAAAGGATAGTTCCCATAATCTTAATGACTAAATGATTGGATGAGTATAGCCTTAATAAGGCTCCCTCAGTTCTCAGAGTTAGAAACCCTCTTAAGTTCCTGCCATTATAAATAATTAGTTTCTCAATTTTGATATAAAAAACCCAATAAAATTAGTATCTTGGAATGTTTCCTCTTTAAAAAATGACACCTTAAAATAAGTTAAATCAGGACCGCATTTTTGCTTTTTACAAGAACGTCTAATGGTGTTCCTTAAGGTTCCCCCTTATCAATAGGACTTTTTAATATATATTTAGAGGATTTCTTAAATACCCTAAAAGAAAATTGCCAAATTAAATACACATCTTTTGAGTTTGCTGATGACATAGTAATAGTCATTGAACACAAAAATTCACTATCCTTTCTATTATCATTAGCTTAAATCTCTAAGTAATATTAAGTAATATGAGCTAAAAATAAATTGTGGAATATTTTTCATTCAAAATCATAAATATTAAAAATGTAATAATCTAAATGGATTTCCAAATATTAAAAATTATAAATATCTTGGATTAAACATTAACAATTTAGTAAATCTTAACTTACAACTTGATAAAATCTAATATCCTTTAAAATTTATAATTGGAGAGCTTTATGGGATTTCTAAATAATTGAATTGGAAATAAAAATATTAGTTATTTTAAATATTCTTACTACCTCACTTTATCTACATTTGCCCCTTGATCCCAACTCAAAAATATAAAATGGGCTTTAACGTTTAACTAAATTATATAAATCTAGCTTTAAGAAAGTTTAGAGTTTCCCTTAAACCTCCCTAATGAAATTCTAGAATTATTATTACCTTCTTTAACTTATAGTTAAACATACAAAAAAAACTATTAGAAAGTTGGCTGATGAAAACTTTGGGTAAACTTCTTTCATTAATAATCATTTTTTTAGCTAGAAACATTCAACTCTATTTCCATTTTTAAAGCTCTTCCAAATAATTTCAATTATATATTTAAATTTTACCATTAGAAATGTGAGATCCAATAATGTAATCTTTCATATAGACACATTATTAATTATCATTCTAGGTTCCATATTTCAGAGTTTTTGATAAACCTTAGACATATAAATCACTCTTAGTTTAAAAGAAAATATTTTAAAAGACTTGGAAACATTATTAAATAGTTTATGACTGATTGATTGAGTTAATATTTATGTTAAATAGTAATAATAATAATAAGAATAATTTGGATCGTTTATACGTGTGTAAATATGGGAAGATGATATTTTTTATTTGTTTAATGATTAATCAAGACCACAAATTCACAAAAAAAAAAAAGTATTTCCTGGTGCAAATGGAATAGTTTCAAAATTTTCACAGAATATTCCCAAAGATGCTTGAACTTTCCAATTTCATTTCAGATACAAATCATAACCAATAATTAATGCAAAATAATTTGCATAGTTATATATAGCTCCAGAACTATAGAATTACAAGTTAGAAGCATCAAATTTTACTTATAAAGGATGTTCACCTTATAATTATAAGAAACTCCAATCTACATTGTTATTCTACATATACCACTCAATTTTCCACGATCCTAATCCTATTAATTTGAACCAGCTATTGGGTATGCCAGTGTATGAATATTCAGACTCAGTGAAAATCTCTGAAATTCTTACTTAGCTATCCGCCCGTAGTTTCATAAAATTAACTTTAAGCATCGCATGCTACTTCAACAGTTCTAAAATCCATGAAATTCTGTGCTGATAATGTTACCTAAATTTTTTTTTTAACTGCTTCTTCTCCTTAAATGACACTGGTTGCCCAGAAGTAAGCACAGTTTTGTTAGTTGTTAACTTTGACCAAACTCTCCCCTTGCTTTATTCTTTATTCCATAATTGGTTCAAGTGACTTAGGATTAGTTTTCCTTACTATTTAGTCTTACTCATTTAATGTTTCGGGTGATATTGAATTCAAATAAAGACCAATAAATTCTTCATTTACAATTACCATGAATTGATTTTCTCCCATTAAATAAGTTGAAGCATAAAGTTGTTATTAATGTGACCAGTATAGCTGCAACAATATTTTTCACAAAAGAAGAATAAAATTGCAATTTACAAAAAGTTTAGAAATTATAAAATGTCTTTTTATTCTATAAAATGAATTTAAAGAGATCTCATGCAAAAATAGTTTCAAATAAATCATCAATCTATAATAAACACATTAATAATACCGAATAACATATATACTTTCAGTTAACGAACCCAAATTATCAAGAAATTGAACTGTTTCGGTAAAAACAGAAAGAAAATTTACAGGACACAAAAAAGGTGATGTTTTGATACAATTAATATTTTCCAAAAGTATTTTACATATTAGACTGATAATTCAGATTATAAACAGAATATAGAGAATTTTGAGGTGTCTATTTGAATAGACTTAATATCAGATTTATTTAAGGTTATTAATGCCATCTAGAATTTTAAGTTTTTCCTCATTATCCCGGAATGAGTATCGAAAGTATGAAATCACTATCTTCTTAGTGTGGATGTTCTTTATAATTGGTGAATGCTTTTTCAGACATACTTCTCACACCTTCAATTTTTGGAAATTTTGTGTATTCATCATTCCAAATTTCGAAGGTAGATTTTTGAAATATAGATAGGATGTAACATTTGGAGTTCAAATTCAATTTTTTTAGTTACTGACTTATTAATAAAATGCATTTTCTAATATGAAATTTTTTATCGTTCCTTGTAATAATTAAGTATTAATTAATATAAGTTTATATGCATTTTTATACCGGTATGGATTTATTATTTAAATTTATTAAAAAAATGTTAGCCTTAGTCAACACGACAACATCTTCATTACGGGGAGGTGGTTGTGGATCTTTTAAAATGAAACCAAGAACTTATGGAAACTTAAAGTCAGATATTTAAGATATAGACAATTTCATTATCAAATTTAATTCTTTTGTTGAAATAATTTGTGCTAAAGCTGATGTTGCTATCAATTCAATAGAATCTTAAGAGATAATGATAGCCATACAATGGTTTATTTTTTAAGAGGAAAACATATATAAACTCAATAAGAATCCATAATATACTATGAAATCATACAACCTAATTGTGGAGGGAATCCGAAAATTATTGAAAAGTTGTTTGATCTATATTAGAACAGACTCGTTTAAATGTTTATATATCTTATAGATTACAGCATCTCTATCCAAAGTCATCTTTAGTTTTCATGTAATGAATTTGGAGAGAATTATGAATTTTGATTTATAAAAGGAATTTCTGGATATTTCTGATGACTTAATATATTATATGGAAATACAGAACAATGATTTGATTTAAATTGAAATGGAATTTTATCTTTTTTTAATAAAAACTTCTTTCGAGATGGTTCCAAATAATAATCGCGATAGGTAAGATATTGCAAAAGGATTTGCAAATGGTATATTTGTATCGTTAATACAATTGAAACCCAATGCTGAATTACTTGAATCCTTATCCAAGGCAGCCTGCTAAATTCACAGTATATATACAATTACAAAAAATAAAAAATATTATGAAGTGTATTTTTAAATAGACATGTTATTATGGGAAATTATAAGTTTATTTAGAAATGAAAAATAATTAATTCTAAAAGAAATACTTTTACAATTTTAGGGAATATATGAAAATCTTGTGAAGAATTCAAACAATTGGAAAAATCATTTTTTGTGGATTTAAATGATTGGAAAAATCTTAATGTTTAATCCTCTTTTAACAAAACAAAGATTAAATCAGTTAGCAAACTCTAACTTTTTTGAAGCTAATTCTACTTAAATGTGGAAGGAATATCAGAAAAAAGGATTACTTATTTAAATGAACCATACAAATGATTAAGCTGTCATTTTACTTAGTTAGCTTTAAAATAATAAACTAAAATAACTTAATAGATAAGTGTTAGAGGATAGTTTCAAAGGATGGGAAGACTTTCTTTTACTTAAACAATATTTAATTGATGAATTAAATGAACATACACCATTTACATTTAGTTCTTATTTAAAATGTAAATAAGATGTAATAAGAAAAGATTCCTAAAATAATGAATAAATTTTGATAATTGAGCAAATGAAAATGCTTTTAAGTTTCATTATTCCAAATAAATTAATTAATTTAATCAAATAAAATAATGAAAATTTGGTGGAGGTGATTAAAGTTTAGAAATAATTAAGGAAAAATGAGTAAGTTAATAAAAGACTATTACAAAGCACTGTTGAATCTTAATTAAAAAAGATCATTTGCAACTTAGATGTATATTTGCAAAACACATAAAAAATTCTCAAAATTTTTAAACTTAATTAGGATAACAATTACTTTTAGACTAAATAATTTAAATCGGCAGGCACATTTTAATTTAATATTTTATTTTAACTTAAATATTTGATGAAATTATTAGAAGAAATATTATTATAAGCAATTTAAGAAATTAAAAATAAAATAAATCAAGATGGCATAAATGATGAAATAATAATTCTTTAGTAATAGAAAGAGATGATTTAGGACCAATTAAAAAATCTAAATCTGCAAGATGACCAGTTTTCATTTGTCAATAATATATAGTAGTATCTTCTTGACTTGCTAATTACAACTCTTGACAAAAAGAGCTTTTTGAAATAAGCTTAAAGCATGTTAAGACTTATTGATGATTCTAAAAAATAAATTTTAAGGCTAGAAATAATGTCAATTAAAAATTCTCAATTTATTGAATTTTTTCAGTGTTTATTGAATCATCTATATTTTGTGTAAGATCACAATGTTGAAAATATTCAAAAAGATGTTAATGAATCTATTTAAAGTTTTAAGACATTATTCATTTCATTGTATGAAATAGAGTGTGTTTACGAATTTGGAGAAATTTAATAACAAATTTCAAATATGCTATCATATTAATTTGTATACAACTTAAGATTGAATAATTTAAAGCTTCAATTATAGCTAACTGCTTTGAAGGAGTCCTTTTAAAATATATTTCTAGCCTAATTGGAAGAATTTTAATAGTTCTAAAAAGTTATCGATCTAGATGAGTTTCTTGTTAATGTAATTAATAATTATCCAAAAAAGATATTTTGCTTTCGTGAAAATTTTTACAAATAAATTATTGCTGAATTAGCAAGCATATAAATTACTGAACAAGACTTTAAAAATAAGTTATCAAAATAAAAAGGAATATTAGAATACCTAATATTGATATTGAATTTAGAAGAATAACTGATTGATTTAGAAAAAATAGATTTAGAATTAATTGATAAGCAATTTGCAGAATTATTTATGGAAGAATCTTGTTCTTCCTCTCTAACAGAAAGAATTATGAAAATATTAGAAAATGCTTCAATTGAAAATTCAATAAAAACTGTGACTTCTAACCAATTTAATAAATCAGAATTGAATTTTGAGATAGAAAAATATAAGAATGTGAGGAAATAATTAAAAATGGTCGAAAAAAATAACATTTGTAATAATATAGAAAATTTCAAATAATTAATCTATCATATTGATATGGTTGTTGAGCTATTAACAAATTCTTAAGGTTAGAATTTAGAAATATTCAAATTACCAATTAGGGATTTGTTAGAGGAGTTATAAGAGAAAAAAATAGAATTTCAAAAAATAAATTTTTCTGATAACAATTTTGATTATTTCCAAATTAAAGGCAATCTAAAACATGTAAACGATTTATAAACCATCATCATTATTCTGAAATTATAATCATCAAAAATAAAAAAAGAAAAGCAGTTATTTTGCTAAATACTTGAAGAAACTAAACAATTTTCAGATAAACTTAATCTCATTCAGAAATATAGTTAAAATACATAATAAAAAACATATATGAAATTGTATTATCATTTCTAAAACCAAATTCAAATTTTTGAATAATTGCAATTTACAGCATCTAATTTATAAAAAAAAGAATAAGAGTCATTTGAAGATTACTTTAATAGAATAGAAATCGATATTTAATTAGAAAAAAATGAAACATATGATAATCAAATATAATCAAAGACAAATATTTGTGATTTTCTCAATAATTTAAAGGCTGAAATAAAATATAAATTAATTGAGTCTAAGTGGATGATCTCAAAAAATTAGTTTGGTTAAGAATATCTGATTCAATAAATTAAAAGAATATACCTCTCAGAAAATGAGGAGAAAGAAGAGGAAGTAGATGATGTAGAAATAAATTAACGATTAGGGTTAATTTAGTCTTTGAATCAAAAGTATAAAGATTATAAAAATAATGACGAATGGAAAATGAAATAGGGTCTATTATTTACTATAATTTAGATTTCATCAAATTGTTTCACAGATACAATTATTTAATTTTGTTAATAAGCTTTAATTGAATTTTGGGTTTAAGAAAAAGATTTAAGAGTTAGAAATTTATTAAAACACTAAAACTTAATAAATTTGTAAATGTAAATTTTATAGAAAGGATGGTTGACTCAAAATGATAGAATTGAAGGAGAAATGTAATAAATGTTGAGTCGAATTGATTTTTTGTAAGAATAAATTGCATAAGAAGCAAATGTGATCAAACGATAGCATTAATTGGAAGAAATGGATGAAACAATTGAGCAATTAGATGAATATATTCAAAATATCAGTGAAATGGGATAATAACTTAAATTGTTAACCGATTTTGTTAATCATATCAGAAAGGGTTTGAGAAGAGTTGAGGGAAAAATAGATGAGATGAAGAAATAACTAAACAGATTGGGAAACGACATAAAATTTCTTAGAGGAAAAACAGTTGCAGAGCTTTTTGATATTAGAAAATGGAAAGTATTGAAAGAAGCAGCAAATAACAATTTTAGGTCTATATATGTGCCAATACAAACTTTGGAAATATTTCATAAATTATAGGAACTGGAAAAGAAATTCCAATTAAATGATGA